AAAAAAGTACGGAAACAAAACAAATTTAATTACTACATCCACAAGAGAACATGGTGTATTATAGACAAATGGAACTGAATAGAAGCAAAAACCAAGTTTTGAATGGCATGATTTTGCTAAAGTAGCCATAAGTATAGCTGGAAAAAGTTTTATAATTTCTCAAACTTAAAATAGCTCCCAATGACGGCAGAGTACCAAACACACCACTTCAAACTGGCCATACAAGATAATGGACAAAGAGCAACTTCTCTGAGGCTCTGGAGCCTTTTAAGAGAATAGACACAGTTCTTCCAAGAGAGCAGAAGAAAGAGTTAAAAAGGCCAACTAAGCTAATTACTCCACTAACAGTGCTAGGAAAGTTTATTGTTATTAACTGCCGTCGGGCCGGTTCCGACTCATAACTACCCTGTATATGGTTTCCAAGGAGCGGCTGATGAACTTGAGCCGCCGACCTTGCAGTTCATACCAAGCTTTCTCAGTCCAGTGCATTATCCCACAGCACTACACCAGAACTCCAAGAACATCTGTAATCCCTTCTTAAAAGGCTGTCATTTGCTATGGTTTAGTCTACACTGTAAATCCCCAAACTTCCATTTTTTGAATGGGAAACAGCTGCAAACATCCATTAACAATAGGAAGTGGATTGCATGGAGTATTAATACTAGAAAATTGGAAGTGATCAAAAAGTAAATATAACACATAAAGATCAATGTCTTATGTGCCTTTGAGTCTTTTGTAGCTCATAGCGACCTTATACAAAACAAAATGAAACCTTGCCTGGTCCTGCACCTCCTCTCAAGTGTTGTTACACTTGAAACCATTGCTGTTGCCACTGTACCAATCCATCTCAATGGGGGTCTTCCTATGTTTCCCTGACCCTCCACTTCTCCAGGGACTGGTTCCTCCTGAAAACATGTCAAAAGTATGAGAGATGAATCTCATCATTTTAGCTTCTAAGGAGCATTCTGATTATACTTCCAACACAGATTTGTTTGTTCTTCTGGCAGTCCATGGTACATTAATATTTTCCTCCAACACCATAACTCAAAGGCATCAATTCTTCTACAGTCTTCCTTATTTACTGTCCAACTTTCACACACATGTGAGGCTATTGAAAATACCATGGCTTGGGTCAGGTGCACTTTAGTATAGTGAAAGAACGCAACCTTGGCACACACCTTTCCTGATTTTAAACCTTTCAATATCCCCTTCTTCTTTCTGAATGTTTGCCTTTTGGTCGATGTACAGGTTCCTCATGAGCACAATCAAGTGTTCTGGAATACCTATTCTTTACAATGTGATCCATAGCTTGTCATGACCCTCACAGTCAAAAGCCTTTGCATAATCAATAAAACACAAATAAACATCTTCCTATAGTCTCTGTTTTCAGTCAAGATCCATCTGAAGTCAGCAATGATATTCCTCATTTCACATTTTCTTCTGAATCAGGCTTGAATTTTGGGCAGTTCCTCGTCAACGCAGAGTTGCAACTGTTTTTAAATTATCTTCAGCAAAATTTTACTTGCATGTGGTATTAATGATATTGTTGGATGGCTTTCACATTCTGTTGGGTCAACTTTCTTTGTTGTTGTTGTTGTTGTTAAGTGCCGTCGAGTCGGTTTCGACCCATAGCGACCCTGAATAGGGTTTCCGAGGCTGTAAATCTTTACGGGAGCAGAACGCCTCATCTTCCTCCCGCGGAGCGGCTGGTAGTTTCGAACTGCTGACCTTCCGGTTCGCAACTTTCTTTAGAATGGGTATAAATATGGATTTCTTCCAATCAATTGGCCAGGTAGCTATCTTCCAAATTTTTGGCATAGATGATTGAGCACCTCCAGTGTTTCAACAGGTTGTTCAAAGATTTTTATTTGTGTTCTGTCAATTCCTGGATCCTTGTTTTCCACCATTACCTTCAGGTTAAGTTTGCACTTCTTTCTTCAGTACCATCAGTTCTAGATCATGTGCTACCTCTCGAAATGGTTGAATATCAACCATTTCTTTTTGGTATGGTGACTCTGTATTCCTTCTATCTTCTTTTGATGTCTTTTACATCATTCAATATTTTGCCCATGTTGCTGTTGTTTTTAAGTGCCATCGACTCAGTTCTGATTCATACCAACCCTGTACAGGGTTTCAGAGGAGTGGTTGGTGGATTTGAACCACTGACCTTGTGATTATCGTCCAGTGCTTGTGCTACAATGCAACACAATGACTACTATAGAACTCTTCAATATTGCAAGTTAAGGACTGAATTTTTCTTCAGTTCTTTCAGCTTGGAATGCTGAGTGTGCTCAGCATTATGTGTAAAAAGAGGAGACCATACAGATATTTGGATGGTCATGGGAGCAGAGTGTAGTAGAAGGTGCATATCTGCTGTTCCATCTCCACAGCAATAGAATTGTTGCCACACATCTAACTGCCAGCTGGGACAATATTCCCCAGCCTTCCTTGTAATGAGAATATGACCATGTTCTCAGCAATGTTATGTAAGCAGTAGTTACAGATAGACTTCCAGATTTGGATACCTTGGATCCTCATGTTCTTTTTCTCCGAGCCGTCATTTGGTACCTAAAAGAGATAAACCCTGTTTGGACAATACAGATGATTATGGTGTTCTAGGAAGTGGCCAAACAACTTGGAAGGAACCATGGTCCCTAAATGACCTCAAGGAGAAGAGCTGCCACAGCAATCAGACTTTCACACTGCGCCTATCCCTTGAAAGGAAAGCAATCCGAACCTCTTTGTCCTTTAAGACAAATTGGGTTAAGTCTTTTGATTACAGTCATTTTCCTGTCACGAGTAAATGGCTGATGCCAGAAATCCACTTCTTAGACCTTGGGCTTGTGACTTTGTCTTTGTGAAAATATCTACATGCATGTATGTGCACACCAATGCATGCTCTAAAAAATGTTGGGTTAAAGAACAACCTTGGAGTTTAAGATTACATAGAATTAAGAGTAGCCAGGACTGGTTGATCCTAACACTGACTTACATAAACATGCCTGCTTAGCCTCAGTATCCTGTGCAATCCTGCAGACCAAAAACAGCAGCCCTGATCTCAGACTCCACGATGTTGATCCAGCTGTAAACACCTCCAGGCTATTATAATGCCAACCAAACAACATGCTAAATTGGATTTTTGGGGTTCAAAAGGGTAATCAAGAACAAGAAGGCATGTTCTACATAGAGATAACAGACCAGCCTATAAACTTAATAACAGAAGTCTACAGACCTTTGACCCATCACCCACATCCAGGCTATATCAGAGGGAAGAGATAGCAATTGATCGTCCAGAGAGACTGGCTGGAGAGCTATGCATTTCCTGCTCCGTCCCTGTCCCCACTTGCCCCACTGAAAGCCACAAGACGAAGAATTTCAGGATTCCATGTTTTTGAGCCTGAACCAGACCCAAGCTGGGGAAAGAATGTTGTTTTTAAATGCTGTAGAGTTAGTTCTAACTCATAGTGACCCTGCATAGGGTTTCCGAGGAGCAGCTGGTGGGTTTGAACCGTTGACATCATGGTTAGCAATCAAGTGCTTATCCTACAGCACCACACCAAGACTCAGGGGAGAACATAGATATGTATAATTGAATGAGAAACCTAAGCTTCGATGTAGATTGAACTGGGTTTCTTAGTAATCTAAAAATGAGACTGTTCATTTCTTAATGATCACAAAACCTATCAGCTCTGCCTGAGTTATTTAGGAGAGAAGAAAAATAACCAACATAGCATGTTTAAAAGGCAACAGAAAGAAAATTTCAAGATGCTTTATCTGTTGTACCCACCACGGGCAGCTCGTTCTATAAGTGAAGTTGACTAGGTTTAGGTGTTATTCTGATCATTTAATTTGAATAGTCAACAAGATACTTTATGAAGCTACCCATCTGGCCTAGAATGTTCAATTCAGGTTTCTTTTACATGAGACATATACTTTTATCTTATTTGGCTGAATCCTATTTGATACAGTCTCTGTTATATGTTAAAAGCTCCTTCCAGTAAATAAGAAAAAGTTAAACAAGTCTATAGAAATATGAATGAAGGAGAGCAGGTAATTTGCAAAGGGAAGAAATAATTCTAGCAATAATACAAGAAATTACAGTTTTTTAAAAAGGGTACAATTTTCCATTTCTCAAGTTGGCATAACTTTTAAATATGAATCTGGCTAGAAAGGATCTAGAGAAAAAGGTATTCTCATCCAACATTGAGGGAAGTATAATTTAGATATTCTTTTTGAGAGTACTTTAGAAACAGCATTTAGAAAATTCAAAATGCATTTGTATATGTGTGTGTTTGGGTGTGTGTGTTTACATAATGTATAGAAAAGGGTCTGGAAAAATACATAGTATTTCTGTTTCTCAGAAGAGGGAGAAGGTGTAATTTTTGTGACCACATATCATCTTTACAATTAAAATATTTTAACAAAAAAAATCAGTTACACTAGCTTTTTAAAGATTAAGTAAAGACACTATAAAATATTTTAATTGCTTTATTTCCCTTTAAAACAGACGTGTTAGTTGTTCAGCATGCATCGCCTACTTAAGTTTGAATAAATGTTGGCAACCTGAACCTTTCTTTAATATACTTGCTGTTTAGTATTTCACAACTGAATAGAGATGGAGCTTCCTTAATTGGTACAGGATGATACTTTACGACCCCGGAAGGCATCGAATAAAACTTGTTTTTAGCAATCAAAGATCAAAACAATTTTAGGGAAAACATTTTAAAATAAAGTTAGGATTTAAATTTCTAATAAGAATGATGAATTTTATTATTAGCTTTTATCTTTTCTTTTTGGCAGAGACTGTTCTCAATTTTTAATCACGTGTGCCAAGAAAATGACCTTCTGTCTACCCATATTAACGTACCTGCCTGTTTTCAGACAGCACTAATCAAAAGTAGCAGCAAGTATTCCAAGAAATCTTTCTGATTTTTTTTTTTTTTAATCTCAAAGTCTTAAGTGAAAAGTAGGTCATTTAAAATATAAGGAGACATTCTTACTTGGTCCTCAAAAGACAGAGCCTGAGCAACATCTCTTGGAAATCCATCAATAACAATGCCCTCTTCATCAGGTATTTGCATCAATTTCTGTTTTATTTCTGTAATTGTCGTTTCCTTTTACAAAGAGAAAAGATGGGGAAAAAACACAGGTAAGTCTAGTTCACTTAAAACTGGTACATAAATCTTTGAAGAGTAAAAGCAAATTTGATAGCAGTACCTGTGGGGCCAATTCTCCCGTTGTAATTATTTTGGCAATCAGACTCCATTTCCTATTGCTGCTGGTACTGTGGATCTTCTTTCTTAATAATTCTCCCACTGAAATGTACTGGAATCCATAACGTTCTGCAATTTTCAAACTCTGAGTACCCTTTCCACTTCCTGGGCCACCTATCATTTAAAAAGGGCAAAATCATGACCTCTGATAGAATTTTAAAAACTTCCTTTTGTAAAACTATTACTTTCATCTTGGAATCACAGGGTGATGCAAAGAGTTAATGCACTTTGCTGCTAACCAAAGATTGGAAGTTCGAGTACACCCAGATATGCTTCTGAATAAACGTCTGGTGATCTACTTCTGAAAAATCAGTCATTGAAAATCCTATGGAGTACAACTCTACTCTGACACAATATGGTCACTACGAGTTAGATTTAACTCAACAGCACTGGTACCTTTAACTTGAGATAGATTCTGGGTCACCAGTACCATGGTGGGTAACTATTCGATCTGTGGCATTTTTCAGTGCGACCTTGAAGTCCCTGGATAGTACAAATGACTAACGTGCTCTGAAACTGACCAAAGGGCTGGTGGTTTGAGAGCATCCAAAGGCACAGGGAAAGCAAGACATGATAATGTGATTTTGAAAACTCAGCCATTGAAATTCCTGTGGATCACAGTTCTACTTTAATACACATGGTATCATCAAGAGACAGAGTCAGTTCAATGGCAACAGATTTTCACTTGTTCATGTTAACTCTGTATGTGGAACAAGTGTGGAATTAGTCAAGGAAAGTGTAAAACTGTCTTGACAAACTGTATTAGATGAAAGAGACTAGCGTAGTGGTTACGAGTCAGGCTGCTAATCTCAAGGTCAGCAATCGGAAACTACCAGACATTCGGTGGGATAAAGATGAGGCATTCTGCTCCAGTAAAGATTTACAGCCTCGGAAACCCCATACAGGGTCTCTATGAGTTGAAACTGAATCCATGGCGCACCCCCACCACTACCACATTTTACTAAATATATAACACTTTTTAAAATTTTCAAACAATGCAGTTATTATTTTTTCTATGTAAAGTCTAATAATTTGTTCTGTGTTCAAAGAAAAATCTAAGGGATACAAAAGAAAATCTCAGAAATATGTCCTATGTCAACAGAGTTAATGTACAATTTGATGAAATACAACCATTATTTTTAAACCAAAGGCACATCAATATGAACACAGTGGTGGTGGTGGTGATGGTGTGCCGAGGAATCAGTTCAGACTCATAGCAACCCTGTATAGATTTTCCAAGGTTGTAAATCTTTATGGGAAAAGAAAGCCTCATCTTTCTCTTGTAAATCGCTGGTAGTTTCAAACTGCTGACCATAAGATTAGTAGCCCAAATAGTAACCACTACGCTACTAGAGCTCCTTCAATATCAAACTTATTTTGAATTTAAAGGACAAAAGGCAAGAGCTTTAAATAAATAATGTTTATTTAAATATTTAATACACATGTCTGAGATTTTAATCATTTTCTTTTGTATCCCTTAGATTTTCCTTGGCTAAGTCAACACTTGTTCCACATACAGAGTTAGCATGGAAAAGTGAGAACTGGTTGCCATTGCGTCTGAGACTGTCTCATAGTGATACCATATGTATTAAAGTAGAACTGTGATCCACAGGGATTTCAATGGCTGACTTTTCAAATTTTCTTACCTTTCTTTCCTTTAAATTCAAAATAACTTTTAAACTATGAACATGCAGAGCACATTGAAAAGGTCTTTAAGATAAAATACTTTCCAGAACTCATGGTAAATTTGAGTTTTTGGTTCATTAATATCAGTGACATTTTCAGTTTTCAGAACTCATGGTAAATTTGAGTTTTTGATTCATTAGCATTAATGACATTTTCAATGTAACTAATTACCAATCACTGATTGCTGTTGTTGCTGTTGTTAGTTCATTCATGGTGACCTCATGCATAATGGAATGAAATGCTGCCCAGTTCTGGGCCATCCCGAAGATGCATTGCAGACTGAACCATTATAATTCCCGAGATTTTTATTGTATTTTCAGAAGTAATTCACCAGGACTTTCTCCCTACTCTGTCTTAGTCTGGAAGCCTCCAGAAGGAAATGAATTAGCTTGGAATCAAGTCCTGGTTTCCTGAATGGAAGTCAAGAACTCCACCATGGAATCACCAATACTTTAATCATTTGCAATTCCCTTTAAAAAAAAAAAGTAAAATGCTTAATACATATAACTCAGAATTTGTTTCCAAACCTCATTAGATTCATTGTCTAGTTAAATTTATATTTCTGAATCGAGACTATTGGAATTTATTGGAACAAACTACTGGATTTACAAGACCAAGTAATGTTCCAAATAAAGTCCAGTATGCAGTTATGTGATGGAAATTATCAAAATGAAACATTTTCAAGTACCTAACCAAAAACATGCAATCAAGATGTATTGATTATTACTGGAGATTGGAATGCAAAGGTTGGGAGCAAAGAGGAAGGAACAGTAGTTGAAAAATATAGCCTTGGTGATACAAATAATACTGGGGAACACATGACAGAATTATGAAAAACCAATGATTTGTTCATTTCAAATACCTTCTTTAGACAGCACAACAGATGACTATACACATGGACCTCA